AAAGAGCAGTTTAACTCTTCTCATCCAAAGCATAAGTATAGACTGATTCATTTTTTTGAAAGGCTTCAGACCTGCCTTATCAATTTTATAATTTGCACTGGAAAAATAAAATGGAATTTTTGTTGTGTTTCATTGTTTTGTGGCTCACTATTAACTGCAGTAAATATTTCAACACAAAGAGAAAACTCCCCCTAAACTCATTATCTGCAGCATAAGCACCAAGACAGGCGACAGGAAGCTCAAACAGTGATCTAACGCGCGTCACAGTATTTGCAGAAATCCCAGGGGCTCTGGACACAGCAATAAATTTGAAATATTTCCCAGATGAAGAATGAACTTATAACCTTCTCAGTATCTAACTGCCACTACGGCTCTTCCAGGCCACAGTTTTTAGACTGAACAGAAGCTGGCCAACCGCATTTTAAATATACGTACTATTCGTTTCCCCAACTTTTCTTTCATCACTTTCCACTCTTATCTAACAGAAATACTACAGATTCTTTCACTGCTGCTGAGAGCAAAACACATTTTTCCAGTGCTCTCGATTCATCACGTGTCGCAAATAAATCTGGTACCCAGGGCACCACTGGGCCTGCTGCTGGGAAGGGGAATAACACTGTCAATACAGCTCACGGAAACATGACTTCATACCAAACATTTTCAAACACCAAATTATTGCCTCCCTTAATGGGAAACAATCTACCCTGGCAAAGGTGCTTTGCAGGTACTTGGCCTGATGGACCCTTTATCAACTCTGGGAAAAGTGAGCAAGTACAGAGCAGCACCCACATGTTATGTTTCTTCCTGAAGACCGCATCAAATGTGGACAGGGATTTGGGGATAGGGCTATCTCAAGCACAGGTCTCTCTCCAGGACATTTCATGTCCTCTTCCTCATCCAAAACACTTCTGGAATGTGCCAACTGAAAAGCTGGTGCCCAACCACCCGCACACGAGGGCACAGGAAATCTCGGTTTGCACGCACACAACTGGAATCTCTTAATTTCTGAAACTATTTGATGCAGGACAGTCATGAGAGTTTCCTTCAAGGTGTCTCGTCCTTTGCAACAACGCAGATCCACCACCGAGCTGCTCAGGCAATCGCTCCCTAGGCCATTTCAGTCAAAGTGATCCCAGTTAGCTCAAACTCATCTAAAAAGTCTGTATAAATTGACTGAAACGCCTTACAAAGAGTTCACAAAAAGCAGCCGAGTCAACAGATGACAGGGGGCTGTCAGGACAGAGACAGTTACCTTTCCAGCGGGCACAGCAGTAAGGAGAGCTCAGGAACAACAGTTTATGTCATTCAACAGAATATACAGAATTAATTACAGGCAATTTCTATACTAAAAGCCGTTGCGTACTTAGATATGTACTTTAGATATTACGTATTTTGAATTTCCTGTGTGTTTCTAAAAACTCCCTTCATACATATATTAACTACTACTTTGGTAACGTTTAACAAAAGGTTGAAGTTTATCCGGGATGTTTCACAGGTAAAGGTACAGATAGAGACAAAGAAAACAGGTATTCATTTATGATTCTTTTTGCCTTACTCAAAAAAGTAAGTTAGGTTAAAACAAAAAACAAACAAAAAAAAACAAACAAAAAAAATCACTATTTCTTCTATGAAAATCCACCTAAAATTTAAGTGATTTATCTCAACTAAAAATACTTTTTTTAAAACCAGTGGTGAAATATTATTTTTCCCCTGTATCCTTGGGACTTGTACTCTATACCTTTCACATATTGCTAAAACAGTCTTCACAGAAGTCTTCCATTAATGTCCCACTGACCTCTGAATAAAATGAAACTGCTTGAACTCAAGCTCCTAGATATACTTTGTGGATACAGGGACGGAGGAAACAAGTTCGTGGAATATGGTTTTGGACCCTCGGGTATCACATTTTTCGAGTTATTAAAGCAATGTATGTAAGGAAACCACACCAAATATTTTTTTAACTAAACATTATAACAACACAATACTCAAGCATTTTTTAATTACACAGGGTAGCCTGCTCAAAGGACTTCTTTCAATGCATGTGAAACTGATAATATCTTCGAGCATCCCTGAGCAATGGGGTCAACTCCCTTAGTTTTTAAGGTAAGGTTTATCTAACTCAAGAGTGTGCCATATTTAAAGGCAAAACCTGAACTCTCCGGGTTGATCAGCACGTGTATTTTTATGCACTTTGAGATAAGCTCTCGCCAGCTACCTCCCATTCACCTTATACCAAAACCCCAAGCAGCACAGAAAGATGCGCTGCGCTTCACCCGTTCCTGGGCAACGGCGCACAGGGCACTCTTCAGTGCGGGATGGTTCAAGACGCCCTACCCTTCGACGACGAGGGTCAGCAACTGCCCTCCTCCTGCGGCGAAAGGACAAGCACGCAGGTAATCACGCCAACGCGGCTGGGGAGCGGCGGCTTGCTGCTCCGGCCACTGGCACCACCCACGCCAACGAGAACGCACGTCAACTTCTCCATTCTTAACATCCATACTAAAGGATGCAGGAAAGCTGGTCTTAATGAGCGCTCGGTGTTTTATACACAATTCAAGCTTACAGTTCAGTAGCATGGGTTATTTCTAAGTACCTGCAGATTTCAGTAAATCGGCACCCTGTGCTGCCATCCTGCAGGGAAATCTCAGTTAAGAGTCATCGACAGGAACACTATTTCACTTTAACTGTCCTAACACTGTCAAATAATGCCATCTTACCCACACTTAAGTGAAGACTTACAAATGACTCACTGAATTGCCATCTTGCCATCATGAAATGTTAATGGGGCGGAGGGGGAGACTGACTGCATTAGTACAACCTCTACTATGCTGCTGAAATCTTCCAACAAAAAACCCCAGCTGCCTCAAGAAAAAGATACAGGAAAAGAGATGAAACAAAGGAATTAAATACAAAAAACTTCAATTTTTTTTTTTAATAAATTTCTGCCAGATTTTAATCTCCAAGAATGATAGAAGAAGCTTAAAATAAGCAGAATCATATAGTCAGTAGATAGGAAAAGATAACAATTTCTCTAGTCTAGAAGAAAATGATACAAGGAGCAGATAACAGTTACTCAAACTGTTCAGCTCTTTACCATATTACGGTAATGGAAAAGTGCAATTACTCTCTACAGCAACTTCCCAATGCTGAAGGAAAGTAAAACTTAGTAAGATTTAGAACTAAGAAATAAAACCAGAAATGTAACTTTCCAAAATACATTCTGACTAATCTTTAATATATTTTAACATCAAAGCATAAGAAGAACTAATAATATTTTGTCCCAGGCCTATACGAAAAATTCAGCATGAAAGGATTAACTGGTAGAACAGATTTTAAAACTTCACAACGAAATGAATAATAAATCTCATTACATTATGGCACAAACAGTGATCTTGGATCACTTCCATCCTTAAGTGATCAGGCAGTGTATGGTAAATTAAGGCCGTAATCTCAGTTTTAATAACGATTTTCTTAGCTTAACTGTGTCATATCACTAATATTACTAATTTCTGCCACTGCCCATAAAGCTCAAAGCCCCATGCCAATTCTGTAAAATATGTAATTTGGAACTAAATTAAGCCCCAGCATACATTGGGTGACCTAAAATCATGATAAAGTGCTGTTAATCAAGCACACAAGTCTTTAAGGCACAGCACCAATTTTTCTCTCAGCCTAAGAGCCAAGGGGAAGAGGAAAAAAAAGAAAAAAAAAAGGAGACCTAATATTGCATTTGGAACAGGCCTCGCAGGGAACACAGCTTTCAGATATTCTTTCCCCACTTTTAAAAAAGGGCAGGTCTAGCTAAAATGCTTCTGTGACAGTGACCTGCAGAAGGCAAAAGCTGACCTTCTCCAGCTCTGCTATACCAAAAACACAGCCACCTTTCTGAATGGCCAGCTAAGGCACGTAAAACTCCTTGATACCATGCCTTGAGCATGCCTTGAGCGCTAAACCTTGTCAAACTTTGATACCTTGTGCTGGGAGAGGAGTAAGAACTCTGCTGGCATGTCTTTGCTTCAGCATAGGAGAGCAGTTATCCCACGATGTAAAGAAAGCGCATCCCATTTTTGTCATAAACGTTTTGCCTATAGTTAAGCATTCCTTAAAAGTTTTTCAGTGACTAAATTTTATCCCTTCAGACTTATTTTTAGGACATACTTTCTTGTACCACAATCCCTTGAAAAATAAGTCAGTGAAGTTCTTACAAAGATATCGGATACAAACCACAGACATACGAGTTCAAGCTAGCTGAAATACCTTCAATCAGTGCAAAACTCCAATGTAAAGAAAAAAAGCATATTTCTTCATGAAATCTGAGAATGATGAAAAAGTCCAACTTTTACCCAATTTTCTTTGCTCCTAAATAAGTCTACGTTATTTGCACAGGTTACATAAGAGGTTTTTTTTTCTTTTTTAAATCAGTGCTTCAGTTCTTATCTTCAGTTTTTTCTATTAAAAGTAGCTTTTTAAAGTAAGCAACGGAAGTCATTATACACGCAATAAAACAAGAACTTACTAAATAAGTATACATCCGCTTTTATTTTCTGGTGAGTTCCTTGAAAATAGCAGTATTTTTAAGGATTATGAAAAACACTTTTTATAATGCCCATCTCAAGACAGGACCACGAAACATCTATATCGGCCAATATTGAGGCCCTCTGTCCTCCTTTTGAAAAGGAGGGACAACAGTTTTTACCCACACTGAAGACACATTACGTAAGCAAATTCCTCATTTCGGTATTTGTGAAATTACAAGCAGGTCAAATAATCAATCGGAGTAACACATAACACAATATTTACAGCAAACTTAACTCTTGTGGGTTTTTTGGGGTTTGTTTGTTTTTAAAGGGGGCCGGAAAAAGGGCATGGACACAACTGTCATATAAATAAAGATCCAAGTATTTTTACAGCCAAGTCTTCAAAGGACCACACAAGAATAACACTCCGGAGAACAGGCATCTGGAGATCGATTCCCTCTGAAAGTTAAACGCTCCACCTACCTTGAACCGTAAGCTCTGCCTGAGCTTCGATCGTCTCGTTCCCGTTGTCGGCTACGCAGGAATACGTCCCAGCATCACCCGCCGTAACCTCGCGGATCTCCAGGCTCCCTCCCGCAAGTAAAAGAAATCTTTCATAGCTGTGCAAAACAGGACATATTGGTGATTAGATGGAAAAAATGGATTTAAATGGACTGTTAACACACAAGTTCTCTGTATGAAATGTCTAAATAAACTTAAGAAGTGTTTGGGTGTAATATTTCTGGGTGCCATTTACAAGGTGCCAAGTTAGAAGAATTTTTAGCTAGATGGGCAGATTCTCCACTTCTGCTTCGCATTTAAAACCAAGTTCAACTAAATCAACTCTGCACAACAGCAATACATCTTTTCACACTTTCAGCTTCAGCTCTTCCCAACTAAAAGCGATCCAAGGTATGTAGGCAGTAGCAGCTAACATTTAAGAAAAATTAAATAATTCAATCACATTAGCAAAACATTTGGAGGTACAGCTGGGAAGGCTTTAGTGCTTCAAAAAAAGTTAGGTCAAGTATAACATGCAGGCTTATGCCCGTACAACGTAAGGAACAAGCAGCTGCAGAGTCTATACACCGCCTAGTTAATTGTTGCTGTTTTGGTAAGATGCAAGAATTCAGGATAAGAGACAGAAATTTCTGAGACAAAGTCAACAGGCTGACAAATTTAAGAATAGAACTTTCTCCATGAATTGTGAGGGGTGGAGGGGAGGGTGGAGGGGAAGGGTTTTTATTTCAACCCTTGTATATCACCTGCTTTAGATGCTACGTGAACAATGAAGAGCCTCAGCCTCCTTCTGCATTCTCCTCCCATTTCACCCATCATGTCCCCTTATGCAATATGAATTTGTACTGGAAAACGTTCCCACAATCCTCATCGCTCCAACTGTTCACAATATGATGCCAGTAGCATTACCAAAAAACCCAAAGCTGAGAAAACAAATCACGAAGTCCACTGAATGGATACAGATCCAAAACCATCCTGAGCTGCAACCGGGCGGGGGGGAGGGCTACCTGACGAATTTGTCTGGCACTAGAAAGTCAGGGCTTGGGGGGTGGGAGAGGGTTGAAAATTTTTTTTTTTTTTCAAAATACTAACTGAAGAGCACGTTACTACAAACAACTGGTTTTTGACCTTTATATGGTGGCGGACATACAACGGTCAATACAATTACTTTCTCTACTTCAAATTGTTTTACTAGCATTATGTTAGTAAAACTAATATTCTCACCTGAGTGGAAATATAAATTGTTATGACACAAAGGTGTTTGGCTCACTAACTAGATACCTCTTTAATATAAATTTATGGCACTGCTATAATTGTTGATTAAATTGTTGCTCAGTATATTTAAAACCTGAACAGATATAACCATTATTGGAATTAAGTGAAAGAAACCAATCTTAAAAGAGTCCAGAGAGATGTGCAACCCAAGCCTACCATAAGGAAAGGGATCCTGCTCCCTTGATCTAACAACAGGAGGAAAAGGGTTAAGTATTTCAAAGGACTTCAAAAAGTTTGGGGTTTTTTGGAAAAGGTTAGGGAATTTGCGTGAAAATATGTTCCAAAATGCACATTAAGAGCTTTAAAAAGAATGCCACAAGAAATAGCAAAGGAGTATGTGAATAGCATGGCTAACAGGCTGTAGCTCAGCAGAAGACTGCAAAAAGTTTGTGCTTTTTTGGAACTACTCAAAAGTAGTTCAACAACAGAAAGTAAGGAACTAGGAAGATACGTTTTGGATGATTTTGATGGCTATTTTGTTGTTGTTGCAGTCAAGAAAAAGACAAAAAAATTCTTCTATCACGGATCAGATAAAAAATTAATTGGTAGGGAAAAAAAACCCATAAAACTTTAAGGTAACCAAGGATGGTCAAGGACGATCCTTTTCCTATTGTGAGCAAGAAGGAAAATCTGTACAAAGGTGCCATAAACAGGAGCCGTCAAACTCGTATCACGTTTTTTCCCCTCCTGCTTTCCTGTGTTTTTATTGTGTCTGTCCAGGTAAATTCATTAGATTAAACCTACACAAATGTGTTAAAATTAGCACCCAAAGTGAAACCAAATCTAGAAGCCTACAACTTATCCAAGGCAAATCTGACTGTCTGGACTGTCTGCTTTTATAAAAAAAATAGAAAAAAAACCTCTTAATTTTGTAAGGGCAACAAAGCATTTGCACAAAAAGAGCAAAGCAATCAGATTTTAGATACTAGACGCAAAGAATCAGCTTAACGTAAAAGCAATAATGCAGTTTGAATAATCAATCTTTTAAATGAATTTTTAAGTGTCAGGGAATGGCAAAAATCAAATTCAAGCTTTTTATATGTATTTCATACTGCCTTTAGTTACACTGTTAAACACTTCCTTGACATAAAATGTCTTGAGCAACTCCAAACACCTATTCATACTTTTTTGCATTTCAGCATGATAAAATATAGTAAATCTTTATTACTTTATTGTATGCAGTAAAGCAGCCAGTTATACCCTGAGGGCTGGGATGGAAGGGTGTTTGTTTTTTAAATTACTTTTCCCAAAACATCTTACAATCTCTTTGCAGTCTTGGTAAAGCACAGCAGATAAAATTACACAGTATATTAGATTTTGTTGAATCTACTACCAGAAAAATCTCCATAATTTCCCGGCTATGTTTAACCTTTGCTGAGTTGGGCAAGTGTAATTCACTTAATACAAATCGCTCAGAGGCCCTGGCAAACAATACTATGTAATCAAAAATATCACACATTCGTGTGTGGCGTGGCAAAAAACCCACATTTTACCTAAGAACGTGTTATACAATTCAAGACTGCTTTAACACATACAGCAAGAGCAGAAAGTTAACGCTGCACGTGCAACCTTAGCTTTGTGATTTCCCCATTTTGGAAACCGATTCACCATACAACCACAGTATCCTCTTGAATCCTGCTGGAATTTTCTGTAAACTTTTTTATGATATAAAAGTATTTTGTTAAATTGAACAACTTGCATCACTCAAGAGTTAGCAGTAATTCAATAGCTTTATTAAATATAGTTATTGCTTAGAGTCCTTTCAACTGTTTATTTTCAACTCAACCATCTCATTTACTGCAGGTTTTGACAGAACTTCCTGTGATACACAGGCAGTTGTATTTTCTCCCAAGCATATGTCCACATGTAAACTGGATTACCTAACATATGCCGTTTGAGCTCAGAGCAGCAGAACATCGATCCACACACTGTGGATAGGGTCCCAAGCAGAAGAGCATCTTCTGCACTTTTGAAACTCAGTGCTCGCCTCCCAAGCACCGAAAATCCATCCTGGCATCCACCTCAAGTGAAATTTCATTTTTCAATTTCAGATTTTCTCAAAAGCACAGAATTACTCCTGCATTCACTAACAGACAAATCTTCACACAGCAGGATCCCTAGCCAGACAGGACATTTCTGGAACAAATTTTTGGAAGGCTCAAAGTTGGCAAAATTTGAAGAACTATTCTGCCTGTATATAACATCTCCATTATAGCCTTTTATATCACCTAAAGTTTCCAGCATGAAGATTTTACTTATTTAGAAATAATGCTTTCCAAAAATGACAATAGTTTTTTTTCTTCCAAATTGTTTCACATTTCAGTGGCCTTTCCCACTTCCTTCTGTTTCTCTCAATGTCATCTAAATTCCTGGCTGAGATATTACTCGTACTGAGTTTACAGAGGAAATCCAGCTGAAAAAGTAGAACGCATATTCAGTAGAACTGCTGAATTGCATGTGGAGAATATGACAGGGTGGGTCTGCCTTAGTGCTGCCAATCCTCCACCTCAGAATTATGAGTGATATACCCTGCATCACAAGATTTTTGCACTTTTGCATTGCATCTGCTTCGGTTTGAGCCTAGCGGCAGCTCGCTTCACATTTTGAGGCTTTACTCTAGAGCTACGAGGACCAGCAGCATAACTTTCAATTTAGCATAGGGCTTAACCTTTTCTTTCAAATTTGAACAGTGTAGTTCCACAAAAAATATTAAATACCATGAAGATTATTAGTAATGACTACTAAGCCAATTCAATGAAAACTTTCATCCAAGCAGTCAAACAGCAGGGCCAAATTTCAACTTTATTTCCAGTGATTTTTATCTCCACAACCACTAAAATACAGTAAGGAAGGCCTTAAAGGATCAAAAAGGTTCCCATAGCGAAGTATCCTGCTTCTCCCAAGATGCCAAACAGTGATGCCTAGAGAAGGGTATGGGGACAGCGCGAGCACGTGGAGACCCTTCCTCTGGACAGTCTCCTACTCTTCAGCTCCTGAGGACAGAGACTTCCCCAAGTCCTGGGTGGAATGTGGGTATTTCATAGCCTTTGATGGACTTTATGTTCCATTATGAGGAACCACAACACGAGCTGTCTAACCTCTTGAACTGGGGTCCCCAATTCGTAACATGATAGAATAACCAACAGCCGTTCTCTGCTTACCTGCTCCTGCACAACCCATCAGATGTGGGCATGCAGCAAGCAGAGAGAGTCTACTCCCTGCTGCCCCTTTCCTGAGACTATTCCATTCCTCCCCATTACATGGCCAGAAGCACACATCTCAATGACCAAAACGCACAACCAGTCACCCACAGCTGCATGACAAAGACGTATGGTCTTTGCCTCTTGGATCGCGTGACGGTGCATGTTCCACCTGTAGCTCAAGGAACGCTTACTGTATGATGCAAGATTGTTGTAGTTTGATCACGTAAAAGAAGATAGACTGCAACCATTGGCCTCTGACTGCTCTGACCTACGAGGACCCTACGAGGGTCTTCCTAAGCCAAAAGGTTAATTAATCAGAGGCAATGTCTACTTTTTCTGTAAATTCACTTTGAGCACCGTATTGATGATTCATTCATAATAAATGTACTTTACTAAATCATTTAAAAATGACTTACTGTCTTTGGTGACTTTGTTTCCAGTTATTAATTTATATTTAAAATCTTTAACTTACCACGTTCTGAAAGGACTCAAGAGCTAGTGCAACGGAACCTTCCAGCACTGCATTAACTTTATTAGTTTCTCACTCAAAGTGCAATGATTCCTCCTTTTTCTCAAGCTCAGAAAAATCATGTATTTTAGAAGTCTGCCTGCACATTTAGCCTTAAGGCTAGACTATCACAAGTATTTTATGAATTTCAGATTATTGTCAATCCATATTGGGGCAATAACTTCACATGCTATCATCTTACCGACAAATCAAACGGTTTTTAAAATAAAGTTTCTAAGCATGTATTAAAAAAAGAAATTGGTTTGACAAACATTTTATATAGCAAAACGGTTTCACGGTATTTTGCATTCCAGGCTTCTTGTTTTGAACAAATGGCAAGACTACCATCATCAAAGTTTACTCATATTTAGCCATTAACATAAATCTTGTTGCAGTCTTTGACAGAACCTCCATCAAAATTGACCTTTATCTGGTCTTATAATAAATATTTATTCCCCAAAAGCCACAGCACTCTAAATTCTTAATAATCATTTGTGAAATAGAGGTTCCTATGCAGACTCTTATTAACAAGGGAGCTTGAAAGGAAAACATTCAGTTCTGTATTAGATGAATTGCCACAGTTAGAACACAAAAGTAAAAAGAAAAGGTTATATTCCTAAACCATTTAACAAGGGGTAAAAAGAGGAAATGTTTGACCAGGCTACCTGAATTTTGTTTCCGGTCCTTATTCTATTTATATATATATACATATATATGTGTGTGTGTATGTATGTATGTATGTATGTATGTATGTATGTATGTATATGCACACACACATATATGTATATATATATGTATATATAAGAATAGGAATAGGATGTGTGTGTATATATCACAGAAATATTTATAATGTATGTTTTTATATGCATATGTGTGTGTGCATGCACATGCATATATGTGTGTTCATTTATATTGTGTATATCTATGTATATTTAAAGATGATTTAAGAGATTTTTCTAGGCAGAAAGTACATTAAAACCTGCCCAGATGATAAGGATCATTTTTTCTTGGTATAAAGAAAAGCCACGTTAACTAGAAAAGTCTTATTTTTATGCAAAAGAGCTATTTTAATACAAAATAAATTTAATTTCAAAAAAAAAATTTCATCAACAAAGCAAAGTAACTTTACTATCTTCAGCAAGACCAGACTCTGTAGTACAGCAAGTCAAATGAAATCTCGTAGCAAAAGTCACCTGGAAGCTGTACTCGTCACATACAAAACGACATATAATGCTAAAAGTTGACTTTAAATATTCTGAAAAATCATTTCATCCATCGTTTAAATTGAGCACAGATTAAGATTGAACATGGTTGCTAAAGCTATGCCTCAGCTCTCCCGTTGTAAAATTTCTTACTCTGTATTTGGAAAAGAAATCAAACAAGCATTTGTGAAGCCCTCAGAAGTTATCTTGATAATCAGCACAGAAAGACTCGTAAGTTATTAGCAGTATTCAAAGCAGGATTTGAAAAGTAAGGCTCCATACCAAAAAATGAGAAGAAAAGAAAACAACAAAAGCAGCTGCTCAGTAAGTGAGCTGTACTCTCGTGGTGCACCGAATGCGACACAACCGGGAGAGGAACGGGGTAAGGGAGAGGGGGTGGGATGGGGGCCAGGGCACATTTGTAAGGGTAATACAGCATCATCTTGCATACCACAAAAACAAATTAAGATCTCACCAGGCACATTTATTCCGACAGTTCATCACGTTTGACTGTGCAACTTAACAAGTCTGTACCCATTCGTTTTATGGGAATGAGTTCTTATGTTTACAAAAAATGAATCAAAAAAGAAGAAAAATCACGTACCATCAGATTGACATCAGCACAACTTCTCAGTGGTATTCAAACTGGTGGTCATCACCTACAGAAGCTTGCATTTTCCAGCTAAAGACAGGTCAGATTATGAGCCCCTGGACTTTTTTTTTTTTGGGGGGGGAGGGGGGATGAAAATAAGATGCAACTACTCTGCTGGTGCTGTAAGAGACTTTCATGTTCCTTTAGTTGCTTGCGGTGGCAGCCATACTCTAGCCCAGACCCTAACTTTACCCCTCACTGTTTCACGATTGCCTTGCTTCCACAATGATTGCCACCGCCGATTTTGAAGGGCACTGAGAACATCCAGGTATCCATTTGTAATTTTTGTGTTCGTCGATGTATTTTCATTAGATGAACAAAAACACAGCTTCTTTCCTCAATAAGTTTTGTTCTTTTTTTTCCCCCCATTTTCTGCCACATTCTTGAATGAATACACCAATGAGAATTTTTGAATAGAGTAATTATCACTTAATGCATTCCTAAAGGCCTGTAAATAATTTTTTTTTATCCTGCTTACATTTTAATACTCAATTTTAATAAGAAATGATGAAATTCTGCATGAAACGCTCTTAAATTCTTCTGGAACATTTAGATGCATACTCAACACTGGACATCTTCACTGCAGAAAGAGTCATGCTAGTGAGGAAACTACACAGAGAGATGCCAACATGAAGAAGTCTTAGCTTTTCTGCAGCGTCCTTATCCCCTTAATTGCTTCTTTTACTCCAGAGGCAATCTAACAGAGTAATTTATTCTTGAAGCCTTCCTGCTTCAAATAAGATTTCTTGGTTTCATGTGTCTGCAGGAAATAGCATGAAATTGTTCTCCGACTCTCATGAACTACCTTACTTGTCATAACACTCAGTCGAGAAGCCCTCTGGCATTTAAACACACTAGCATCCATTTTACTGGTTTAAAACCAAGCAGAAACTGAATCTAAAATGGAAACTCTAGCTCAGTTTCTAGATTCTTACCCTTACATAAAAATATATTAGCCATTACTCACCCTTCTGTGATAAGCTCTTCTTCATTTCTTGTCCATCTGACGTATGGTGTTGGAAATCCTACCGCAACACATGGAAAAACCGCGCTTTGCCCAGTAACTTTAGTAAGTGAAGTTGGCTGCCTCAGAAACATCAAGTTCCGCGACACCTCTGGATCTGCAAATTTTTTGTAAATGACAAGAAGGTTACCAATGCAGAATCAGAAGATCATTATATTAATTTAAAAAAAAAAAAAGCCTGATTTTTTTTCCCTCCATCTTCACAGGCCTGAAATCATCATCTTACCTACATAAAGAGTTTTCTACAGGAGGTTCTACCACCCTTCCACGTGAAGAGCTCTTTACCGTTTTCTTCAGACACGCAAACTGATCCTCCCACCCCGCTGGGATTCTGACTCCTCAAACTCTCTGGGAAACAATTTAAACTACCAGCCACAGCCCTGAAGCTGGAACTACCACCACTCAGAAAATACCTGCTAAGCAAAGACATAGGTCCAACTTCACCCAGCCAACCCCTGGCTATTACCCAAACCACAATACTGGTTCACAAGAGCCTACACCTAAAAAATAAAATGACTTTCTGCTCTGGGACTGAGGGCTAGGGGGTTAGGATTCATTACACAAATTCAAAACAGTCGGCATAGATTACTTCATTTTACTCTGGTCACCTGAAATTGGGAAAATACACTTTGGAAAGCACTGGAATCAGCCTTGCCAGCATTTGAAAAAATTCTGAGCAGCGGCATACCAACTTTATCAGCTGGCTGCCAGAGAAATAGAGACAGATATCAAAGTTTTATGCACTGGAAAATGAAACCACTGTAGCAGAGCTAGCCCTAAGCAAGGAAATAACTAGGTAGTTTGTAGGCTGCAGCAACATAAGCTTTATCCTAAAGCAAAAAGATATAATGGTTTTCCATCCTTATAATGGTGAATCCTCTGAACTAGTTTGGATTTTGCTTTACTTTAGGCTGGAACAAGTTTGTTTCTTCCCCCTTCCGCTTAAGAATGAGTGCAAGTGAGCGCATACTTACTCGTTCTTTCAGTACGAGAAAGGGCCAGACTGTGAGAACTGAATACGTACCCACCAATAAAGACCGTCCGGCAATCTACTCCCAACTACTGCAATTAAATATTGGGAACAAAAGGCTTCACTCCTGCTTTACTAAAAAACATCCATGACTCAAAATACATCCTTAGGATAAAGGTTATAAAAATCAACTTTGTCTAGAATTGAAACAAATTCATCATGGAGCCCCAGTTAACACCTGGACAGAGTAAGATCCAGTTTGAACTCTTTGCAATAACTTCAGCAAGCACCTTACACCATAATCGGAAGCAAATGAGTTCTCAGATACTAGAGACAGCATTTCTGTCATATCAGTTGTCATAACTCTCTTTATGCCAACCACTCAAAAAAGCAACATTCAAAAAAAGCAAGTTTCTGTTGCACTAATTGCCACATTATCAATATTCAGATGCATGCTTATCTCTCCTTTACAGAGGAGAAAGTTCAGTGATGAGCAAGCCCTAGATTTGGGCAAGCACTCAGTCTTTTCCTGAAAAGTCATTTTTGAGAACCTTAAGTCCCTATCATCCATGGCTCACCCATCACTAAACACAAACTAGCTGTTCTCAGTGTCTGAAGACCTCAGTGTCCATCCTGCTTAATACATACAATTTGGAGTCATCAATTCAAACTCTGCCTTTGCTATATTCTTAAGTTTTGTCTGTTCTTATGCAACTCCCCCAAACCTTCATAACTCCTTTCATCTCTAAAAATTCAGCTTCACTATATCATGATGCAAATAAGCCAACACTCAACAATGACGGACATGTACTATATTGTATAACTATTGCTTAACACATTAATCATCTTGCCAAGTATCCTTCTTTTATTCCCCTCCAAAGGTAGATAAACAAGTGTTTAAACCACAAAAGGACATATATTTTGCACGTACTACTGCAATACCAAACTCCAACTCAACTGGTCAAGTAGGACTACATCTTCACTGCCTAAGCAGATGATGCAAGGTAGAGGGCCAAACCCCCAGATTAAGTGGGGGCAGACCACTCTGCATCTACACTACCATTGCTCGCTCAAGCACACCATGTCTAGCATGCACAGCGTTTGGCCCCTATCTCATCTGGGACCTACGTGACACGCTCAGGGACTCCAGTTGTTGGTTTTGCTGTTCATCAGTTCAAAGTGCTGAGAATAACAACTCTGCGTTTATAGTACAACGCAAAGGGCATCCATGGGCTCTAAGGTGAAACATGAAGAGGTTGCGAGGGTCAGATCTGAGAGAACTAGATCTGATGGAGCCGTGTTTCAGGACTGTCCAAGGCAGAAGGAGACAAACTAGAAGTGATCCTGGATTACACCACCTATCTCAGGCCCACACAAACTATTGCATCAACTCTGCCCACATTCCCTATTAGAGGAAGCTAGTCAGCTTGCTCCAGAAATAAGACCTTGTGTGAATAAGCATCTATGCAGAGTGAGTGACCTGCCGTGACATGCGGAGCAAGCCAAGTTGTAAAACAAAAATGGATGTAACAGATTGCCAGCGAGGAATCACTACACCGGGGAGGGGTTAATACGATTCACTGGAGACAGAACTTCTTAGTGCTCCAAGCTCATAGGAAAGCAGTTCAATTCTTAGTTTGGCGAAGACTGGATTCAAGAATTAAGTCCTTTTCTTCCCTTGCACTCCTGTATTTGAAGGTACCTGTGATTAACTAGCAGAGCTCAAAAATCTCTCTCCTGCTTGGTGGCAGATGAAAGGCAGACTGGAGGTGCTTCATTAGAAGCTTCCTATCAGAAAGGAGGAGAACCCTTTCCAAATGGATACAAATCTGCACTGTGCAAGTGTGCTGGGTGTACTTCAAGGATTTCAAAGCACAGCAGCGGAATTACTGTCAGTCACGCATTAGGTAATGGTTTAAAAATGGAACAAAATCAAATGAAGAGCAGATTAATTCAGATCATTCATTCAAATGCATCTCAAACCAAACAATCAATTATGCGATTATTCACGATGTAATAGATTAAGAAAAGCCTTCTGTGCAACAGTTGAATTCCATTTGAGGAAAAAAAAAAACAAACCCTTCCTGCTTGGGGCGGGGTTGGGGGAGAATTTCACAAAACTTCACTATCAACACTTTCAGATACAGAGCCAAGTAAGGGAATAGCACTATTTGTGTCCCCCAATATAGTTAGTTTAGGTCACCTTTAGTAACACATCATAACAACAAGTAAACTATGTGGACCCAAAAGAATTCAGAAGATCAACACACTATGAAAGTTTATTAGAAAATACTCAATCACCACAAAACCAGAAAGTCTTAACAGTTCATTTGAGGGGCTCTGGAAACATGAAGACAAAACAGACTAAAATATCTTTTCCAGAAGTACTCTTCCTCAAAAAGCTAATCCTTACTTGAAAAAAGGATAACGATAAATGCTAAGAACTTAAATGAAACAAATTTCTACTTTACGCCTAATATCCTTAAGCTAGCAAATGCCTCAATTTTAAAGTGGAGACTGTTGCAATGGTAATTTAGGATATTTTAAAGTACATTTTAGCATGTTAAAACACTGGTGTAGTCATCAAAAACAGAAATATTCAGTGACGAGGACCTCTGAAGATCTCTCATCCAACCACCTGCTTGAAGCACACCCACTGCCAACACTAGGTCAGGTCAACCGTGGTATTGCTTAGCCTGGTCTTGAAAATCTCCGAAGATGGAAATTCAGCAACTCTCTCTGGCACTTCCTCCAAGCAGTAAAAATTGACTCAGAATTCCAACATGAAGAGTAATTCAGAAGATACAGCACAACACAAAGCTCTGGAAGTAATTAAGAAAACCCATACAAAACAACCCATATTTCCCTAGTGGGGAAAGTGTGATTCCACATTCCTGTTATATTTTTGGTTAATTTTCATAACTTTGTGTTAGAACATCTGGTGATAGAGATCTATGCAATATTGTCATTAGAAAAAAGAATGGGCTAAACGTAGAAACAGTTTACATCAGCACCGGACTTTGGTTCTCATTAAAAAAAAATAGTCTAAATATCCTAAAACAAGAGGCTTAGCTAAGCCTTTCAAAACAATGTTATTTGTGGCCATCCCCGTTTTGGGGTCTGGAGACTTCCCAAAAGGGTCCAATCTTTACAGAATCACAACTTCCAAAAAAGATGGGACCACTAAAAGCACTTCAGCTTAAGTTCCTAACAGCCAGGGACTCTGAAAAGAACCAATTTATTTTGGAAACTTCAGAAATAGCATTTTAAACATGAGATTCAACCCTGAGAAACTTGGAAATACACATTAATCCTCAAACTCTTATACTGGGGAGCAGGGGGGGGAGGGGGAAGAGTCAATTCCCAATTCCCTCTTTCTAACAAGTCACAAACAGAACTGTATTTCTAAGGACCCTTTATAGAACTCTTTCCAAGAACGCCTTTTCATGAGCTAAACCATTAAATACAGCCAAAAAAAAAAGTATTTGCCTGTCTCTGATCTATTTTCAAAATTACAAAGGGCTCAGACACTGATGACTGGTTTGATTTTTCTGTTTTCCAACTGTAGGGTGCAGACTAGTCTTCCCAAGGTCACCATGCTTTAGTGGAGTGTTTATGTTCATTTTCAACTACTTCAAGAAAAGACGTCCACCAGGTATATTAAATTTCAAAGTCCAACTTAAAACATACAAAAATGTGATACAGAAGATTCTCACTTGCTCCCCTTTGTAAGCGTTATCTTTTCTTTTTTTATTTTCACCTAAGCAACTTTAATTTTTAATTACTTTTAAGAAAAAATTGATTAATACCTGGAAGAATTTTGAGCTCGGCCTCTTCGCTGTATTTGGGGGTCCCACCACTTTCAATGATGCAACGATAGAGTCCTCCATCCATATCAGTAGCATTGCTAATAATTAGAGCTCCACTTGGTAATTTAAACACACGATCATCCAGAAAGACTGGCTGACGGTCCTGCTCCCACCTCACGAATGGTGCAAGGTCAACATTGACTTCACAGTTAAGGATTGCACTGCTTCCTCTGTAGACAGATGATGATTCTGGCTGACTGGTGAACCTGGGAAGACCTGGAAATGAGTAGAAAAGTTTAAGACAATCAGAGGGACTTTGAAGGTAACATCAAAGTTTTGAAGCCCAAGCCGAGATTCAAGAACCTAGCTAAAAAAAGTTGCTCTCCATCTTTTTAAAATCTTAACATTTGATAAACAAACATAAGGAAAAAAGCTGGTGTAAAGGTAAATAAAAACATCTATGAAACAACTGTTGTCTTACAGTTAGTACTTTTAAGAACAAGTGAATATCAAAAACAAAATACAGAAGTCTTTAGAGTCCTCAAAAAATGGGAGAAGACGTGCAAGTAACATCTACTCACTGCTCCAGCGGGCTCTGTCCTTAAGGAGCATATACCACAGAACCGGTAAAGTCAAGAAAGCGTCCACCTCATACATCAGAACAAATATAGTTTGATCCATAGTCTGCAACGGCCACCCAGTTCCACCCCGAGTGGAGCACACTTGCCCTCTAGTATGCATTCTGGGGATTGTACCACGAGCAGATAATTTTGGAGAAATTCTTCCATTCTGAATTTTACAATCTGCGTGACTTCTAACAATGAGGCTTTCTCTATCAACTGGGATTTCTAATAGCAGAGGTTAAGAATTTACACTCAAAAGTTGGAAAGTATTTTCTACAGCAACTTTGTCACCAACTATAAATAAAGGTTTAACTTCACAATAATTTAACTAGACCATGCTAAGGAGCCTGAGGACGTTAAAGGACCAAATCTCACTGAAATTCAATGGAAATGAGATACCCCTTTGGAGATCTCCAGCACAAAAAGCCTTATCTATTGAGCTATAAGGTAAAAACTGCATTTGTTCATATAAAAATATTTCTCATGTCAATACATTTGAGAATTAAGTTTCTTCACCATGAAGCCAAAAATTGACAGGTGCAACACTGATGTAACAGCTCTCTACAAAGGGTGTGTTAACTTTCTGAATAAAAATGTTTTTCATGACAGCTTCCCATAACAGAATAGACATCAGATCTTCCAATAGAAATACTCCGTCCACTGAACGGCTCCCCATTGCTTACCCCAAAAAAGTTCTTCAAACAGCTCAACTAAAAGCAATAAATACAGTAAAGAGTGAGGAAAAAGGACAAAGCAGGGGGAGGAAAAAGGACAAAGCAGGGGGAGGAAAAAGGACAAAGCAGGGGGAGGAAAAAGGGAGGAGAAACCTCCTCGCTCTGCCCTTTTGGGGGCAGTTAGCTATCTTATCAGCTCAGCTGCCTTTTACAAGTCGCACAGAGGGGACTGTTGGGCTGCACTGACCTGGGGAAAGGCACCCGACTCCAATGCAGTCGCATCCGTGTCCAATTAATATTAGCTTTTTTTTTTTTTTAATGTTTGCTCTTAAAATTAACATTGTCATCGAAACAGCCCGTTAGTACTCACCATCTTTCCCTCTCAATAGCGCAGTGCTTCGAGCGCGTTCTGCGAGGCTGTCTTATCAATACACTGCGTGCTCTTAATAGAGAGGATGGAAAGTGGGGCTTTGGGTGACACAAATTAAACCATCCTGCTATAATTATGCAAGCATATGGAGCCTGCTGGGAATGTGTAGGCTCTGATAACCTCTAATTCAACACTGCAGCACACAGCCAAGTCCCCAGAGCAGAAAACACAAGCCCTCTCCACAGGTGATGCCTTGCAGTCATGCTTACGCATGAATGAATCTGTGACAGTCGAGGTCAGCTCTCTCCCACCTCCCTGAGCAAGGGGAAAGGTGAAATCCCTAATTAATTTCAACAAAATCCCACAGCATTGTTTTAAGCATTGGAACTGTGATCTGCACTGTCCCAATTTTGTAGAAACCCCCGGAAAAGCAGCAAGGAGCATCTGAAGCCACACGTGTTCAGGCTTTTTTTCTCTTGAATGAAAAGTGCTTTCAGCTGCACTGTAAAAGTCTTCATTATAAGCACACACTTAAGTATACATGTTAATGCATGCGTTCCTTAAAACTTTTTTTCCACAGCAAAATAAGCCTGAAGCAGACCACCAGCATCAAGTCCAGTGATCTGCAATCAAAGCCAACCACGTAACAGATTTAATTAAGAAAATCCACAAAGCACCATCTCCATACCTTATAGTAAAAGGCCAAAGCCCGCAAACTGTTACGTGCCACCATACGGGAGATCAAGGCCATAACCAACATTCAATCTGTAGGTCAAGCGCCCTAAAGTTTAAAGGCTTTTGCGTTTGCCTTGGGTACAGAGAATGGCATACAACCTCTACAGGCCTCTGTGATTATGTTCCTGGGGAAAAAAGAATCTCTTCCGATTTCAAATTTGGTGATCGGTGTAATTGCAAGATTGAGTGAAATGCACAACCACACACCTGCAAAAACACTAACACAACTAGAAGCAACAGCATACCCGGCCTCTAGCTGTGGCTAAGCTCTGATGCTGCGGAAAGAGACAAAACCAAATGAACATAAAAGGTATATATAACTTGGGGGGAGGAGGGGGGGGAGTGAAAAACCAAAGATTTTCCCAATCCTTGCTTTAGAGTCTGCAGCACAGAATACAACTACGATGCAGGTACAACTTAAACTATCATTCCCTTCAACCCTTCTCAAGAATACCTGGACACAATATGACTTCTAACACATCACGTTTTTAACATCTAGATCACTTTCACCTTGTCACATTATCCCTTCCACAGGGTTATAAAGGTCCAATCTCCAAACAGGTTACATACACTCCTCCCTCCCGCAAACACTGTCTGGAGGCTCCTTCTGTAACTTTACTCTTCTGAGAATAAGAAACTTTCTTCTGCTTTCCGGTGCTGCTGTATTTACAAGCAACTTGTACTGCTTTGATCTTGACCTTGTTTTGGTATTACACTTAATTATTTTGTATCCTTGATATTTACCCATTACTCCCTCCCTCCATGGTATTCATAACACTAAAAATCACAGGTTCTCTAAACCTTACTTCCACTTAGTTCATGAAGCTCTGATCTTTAGTCTCTTTTCCTCATTCCTCTAACCATCCCAGTAGTCTTTCTTTACAGAAATAGCAATCACAGATTGCTCAGGCTGGGAGAGAATGAGTCCAGCCTCCTGCTCAAAGCAGATCCCCTTCACTCAGGGCTTGCAAACCTCCAAGGCTGGAGCCCGCACAGCCCGTTCCGCTGCTCCACTGCTCGCAGAGCGCGAAAGGTTTTCCTTAAATCCACTCGGAACCTCTCTTGCTTCAACGGATACCCGTCGTCTCTTACCCTCCCTACCACACGCCGCTGGCAGAAGGGCAACGTGGCAACAGATAAATTGAAATGCCTACTGCAATTTAAGTTCCGATCACAGACATCCAGGTTTATATAGCAAAAAGACTTCCCAGCATCTACTGAAAATATCTTCCCAGTGCACTTGAGAACCACATTAGCCCTTTTCATACTGGCAGATTATAGTCAATCCTGTGATGAGCCAAAATAACTAGAGGTTTTTTTCTCCTGTAAAATCATCAGTTCTTCTGTCCCAACTTAGTAACAAGAATGTTGCTTCATGGGCATGACTTCGCATGCTGTACTGAAAATTTTCACAGTTATTCAGTCTATAGCATCATTTTATTCTTCCTAAAAGGCCACCAAGGCCTCAGCAAGATTATCAAGGTCTTCCAAATTTGCACACTTGCCAATTTCATAGGTATACACTTAATTCTTACACTAAAATAACTGATGACTAAGTTAAACATGACCTTTTTCAAGTCTAGTCTCTGAGGCATCTTTCCATTCTGGAAATTTCCCTTTGAACATAACCTATTATATCTTCATAATTACCTCAGATTCTTATCAATCTCAACATTATCAATTAAATTTCCATTTTGACCTTTAATAATTTCTCATGGACAGTCTGTCAAAAGGGTAATTACAGCACACCCATCATATCAACTGCTTCATCCAGAAACTTGGATACAAACCACTTTGACAACAGTGATGTTACAGTTTAGCGTTCCTTCTATTTTCCTCTGTCTTAATTACTCTAGTCTTCAAAACCCCTTTAAAATGATATAGTGCTGGGATCAGACTAATTGGTCTATGACCACCCTTCCCCTTTCGGGGCATATATTCTACATCTGTTATTCTTCAAGAGGAAGGTACGAGCCTCGATTTCACAATTCATTAAGAACTTCTCCTAATGAACTTGCAAATTAATATGTCAATTATTTCAACAGCCTGGAAGGGAGCTCTGGACCTCCTCATTTTGTCAGCCAGGCAGCATGACTTCTGCTTTCACCGCAGATGATGTAGCTTTGTTTACCCTGTTCATCTACCACTAATACTCATTGTATCAGCACGTTGCAGCATAAACGAGAATGTCATTGAAGGACTAAAGCCCTGTAGTTTCTAACATAAAGCTACGTTACTCTTTATTTCAAATTCCTTGCTGATGCTATTCACTCACTGAACAAGACGGAGCATGTCCTGTTGCGTGCTGGTGCCCCATTAAGGTTTCATTACTCACCCACAGTAAATTACAGTTCACGTTTCCAGTTATCTTAAGTGTGTCAGTAAAATTTTATATGATCACATTTTGTATGTTTTTATTACACTTCTTAATCTAGGTCATAATTTTGTCACATGTTAACCAAAACTAACAGAGTTGGCAATATAATAATGAAAATTGCCATAGAGTAATTTTCACTTAATCTATGATTACTTGTAATTTGCACTGCTTAGAAGTCTCCATCATGGAAGAAGACCCTATTGTGTTAGCCAACATACAATCAGAAAATAATAACATATCACAAAAGACGATCTATATACAAAAATTAATTACTATTAATTGAGATCTGTTTATAAACACAGTAACAGGTCCCACAGCACTGGCATACTTCCTGCAGTAATGCACTACAAGGATATACCCTTTCATCTACTAGTCTAGACTCTTTCAGTTAAAGAGCTTCTCTTTTGCTTCTCAAAACAGCAACTGAGCGTCTTGCAAGCCTGTGTTTCCTTAGCTTGTTCATATCATTTTCAAATGCATTACCCTTTAAACTAACT